CAGCGGTTACCGCGTTAAAAAAAAGGTAATTGTTGCGCTGGAATTAATCCAGAGAACAACATCCAGTGTGTGGAGCTGAAAGGCATGCCCTGCACTAGCGAGCCAAAAGAATTGGATCTTTTTAACTACACACACTACACTAAGGGAAACTAATCCAGCTGTTCGGAATCCCCAAATTTCACATAGCTGGCATCTCCATAATAAACAGCGTAAAAGAACCCGTGGAGACATGTGGGAACCACACAGAAGCATATTTAGAACTGAGAACGTGAGGCACTTCTTTACCACAATGGGTGTGGGAGTGTGGAACAAGCTACCCCGCCAGGTTCTTGAAGCCAGTATTACGATCTCTTTCCAGAAGTGGCAGGATGAGATCCTGGATCAATTAATTACTAATTACTAATGACCAATCTGGTGAGATGGGTGGAATGGCCTGCTGTCGTTTGGGACCTGTTATTGTGTTCTTAATGTCCTTATGTTCCACATGATCTCTTACGTATTTCATTTAATGAATCATCTGTATAATAGATCACAGATTAAATTTACAATGCTTTAGAAATCGACCTACAGTACTACCAACCTATAAAACCAGCTTGATAGGGGCTCTCCAGCTGTAGGGCTGGAGACTCCTGATCTATTGAGTAAGTGGTTGTAATAATATCTATACAACTGACGCCTACAGTGCAGGTCCTGGGGTGGCGGTGAATCTGCAGGCTCTCCTTCAAACAGAAGCACTCGACGAGCTGGGGGAGGCTGGCAGATTTCTCCAATCAATCCTGATTACTGCTAATCCAGTGCTTGGTAGTTCCATAATGGATTTAATTAAGGAAAGAGTTGGGGTGGAACAAAGTCTAGCAGATATATGGCTTCCCACTCATGGGAATCTCTAGACTAGTAAGTACCATTGAAACTTTCAATACTGTATTAAAGAATAAAATGTAAAATTATTTTTATTAATCTTATTGGTTGTGTAAAAACGAAGTGTCACTAAGGCTTATTTAAACTATAATCACATATGTCCAGGGTTTTCTTAGGCACAATGATTCATTTTCCTCAGGGGCCCTAAAATGATCAACATGTTAGCTTTTTTCTCAGGTGAATCCATAAAATGAGCAATTCTGTAATCGTTTTAAGCTACTTCATTCAGATTGCCGATTGCTTGGCGGTAGGCAGCTTCATAAAGACAAACTGTAGATCCACAGTAAAAAGTCACAAGTGTTCATACCCTTATATCAGCCACTACTTAAATTAACAGGAGCTCTTCGGTGTTTGTTATACTTTTGATAAAACACAGGAGGGGTGGCACAGTAGTTAGCAGCACTGGGGCTCTGGGTTCAATTCGTGGTGCACTACCTGCCTGGAGTTTGTATGTTCTCCCTGTGAAACAGTCCTGAGACATGCTGGTAGGCTAATTGGCTTCTGGTAAAATTAGCCCTGCTGTGAATGTGTGTTTGTGAATCTGTGTGCTGTGACAAACTGGCTTCCTGTACAGGGTGTATTCTGCGGTTGTGCCTGTTGCTTGCAGAGGAAGGCTCAGCTTCTCCCCTGCAACCCTGTATTGGATTAGTAATAATAATAATAATTGCTTACACTTATACAGTATAGCGCTTTTCTGGACACTCCACTCAAAGCGCTTTACAGGTAATGGGGACTCCCCTCCACCACCACCAATGTGCAGCATCCACCTGGATTAGAAAATGGATGACAAAAATGAATGTATTAGGCACTCTAAAGAGCAACCACTTTTTCTTGCATATTTTGTTACTCAGGCCCTGAATAACTCTTGGATTTTGCTTGTGCTTAAATTGCTATTTTCCAGTGTAATTCCATGATAGACTGTGGTCTTTTTTAAGTGCCAGGGTGACTCAGTAGAATGGGCACCAAGAAAGCAGAGGACAAAAATGTTCAAAAGAAACGGCAAGATGTCTCAAGCATGCTTGTTGTGCGACGTGATTTTCCACCACCACATGGTTGTCGAAAATAAACTTGCGTTCTCTGTTTGGGGAAATAGGCAGTTAGTGGGATGAAGGTGTGAAACCAGGGTGCACAAGTTCACTGGGTATTGCACTGCTGTTGGGGAAGAGCAGAGTCAGAGCACAGCTGACACTGATTTCACTCGAGTCATCTGTCAAAATCTCAAGGGACACACAGTTTCCAAATGCAGACCTCAACCCCTGCCAACATAAAAGTAAAAATAACAATGAAACAGACCAAAAAAATGCTGTTTTTGATCAGGAAACAAGTCTGCATACCGATTAGCTTTCAGTGACGTGTACAAATGTTATTTTTGTTTCCTGAGATATGAAATCAGCTGTTGAAATTGAGCAGTTTTAGCAGAGGTTGAGCTGCCCAGCTCTAGTCTTGCGGGGGCCTTATCGTCTGCAAGATCTGATCCCAGCTCAGCTCTTGATCCATTCATCCACATCCATTTTGTATCTGCTTGATCCAGTGCAGGGAGGCCAAGGAGCTGGACCCTACAGGCGCAGAGCAGGAAACATCCTGGATGGGATGACAGTCCATCACAGAGCACACACACACACCAGGGCCAGTTTCTCCAGAAGCCAATTAACCCACCAGTATGTCTTTAGACTGTAGGAGGAAACCAGAGCACCCAGAAACCCATGAGAGCATGGTGAGAACATACAAACTCCACACAGACAGTACCCCAGGAACTGAACCCAGGGCCCCCAGCACTGCAAGGTAGCAACGCTATCCACTGGAACACCATGCTGCCCAAATTCATATTCATGCCATGTAAATGTCGAATTTGAACACTGGCATTCAAACACTGAGGAGAAAAAAAAAATTCTTAAAAACTCCTTAAAGGAATGTAACTAAATCATGGTGGGGTGAGATGTTATACAACTGCTACACCATACTAAAAAAGGAAAATGTTAGGATACATAGTTGAAAGTATAGACCTCATAACAACGGATGTTATGCTAAAACTATTTAACTACTATTTTACATATAAGACCTCATGTCGAATATTGTGTTTAATTGTGGTCACCCCAAAAATACCAAGATATTGCAGCTCTTCAGTGAGTCCAGTGAGGACGAACAATATACATTCTTGGTCTTAAAGGACTGCCTTACACTTGAACTTTATCTTTTTAGTCTCAAACGGTGAAGACTACACAAGGGGATGATTCATGTTTTGCAAATTCATGTTTGCAAACTATGTTGAGGTCTATGTCTGTAAATTGGAATGCTAGTTTAGCCTTGTGGCAGCTGTGCTTGTACTATCTGTCCATTTCCATGTACTTGACCTGTGAGGGTCAAGGCTATCTAACAAGTCAACTGCTATTGATCTTTATACTGTTTTATTTTTTTCAAAAAGTGCCCAGAAACATTTACTGATGTTTGATATTTTTAAATTTTAAAACGCCTTTGCGCTGCACTGAAAATGTTTGTGCAGAATATGTGCAACTTTGGCAAAACAAGGCCGCCAATTCTGAAATAAAAATAAAGTTCTTCTGAATCACAATTCTGGCTACCTTGGCCCCACCACAGGAAACCAGGGCTAGCTATTACAGCTTGAGCCTGAAACCTACTTGTCAGATGTAATCTTTCCAGGCAGCCTGGTGTTATCTTCAGTATGCAGCTTCCCTCCATATCTGTCTTAACCTGACAGGATTTCCTGCACCTCATGAAGAAAACATGAACACTTTGAGCACTCAGTTCTAACTGCAGATTTAATTAATATTCCCAAACGATATTTAAGTAAGAAAATAACTTCTCTATAACTGTGATGTTGTTTGTGTTTGGCTGAATCTGCACTTTTACAGGGTGGCGCAGTGGTTGGCATCACTGCCTTTAAGTGGTGGGATGCTGTCTGTGTGGAGTCTGTATCTGCCCTCAAGTGTTTGCATGGTTTTACTCTGGGTGCTCCAGTTTCCTCCCACAATCCAAAGGCACGCTGATTGGCTTCTGGGAAAATGGCCCTGGCGTGAATGTATGTGTTTATCTGTGTGTGGCCCCGTGATGGACTGGTGTCCTGTCCAGGGTGTACCCTGCCTTATACCCATTGACTGCTGGAATAGGCACCTACACCCCTGTGACCCTGAATTGGAAGAAGCGTTTAGAAAATGGATGAATGAGTACTTTTTTACCTTCATTCTCATAAATTTGGACGTAAAACTGAAATAATTGGTCTGCAAGGAAAAGCTTTCAAAAGTTTTGTGATAATGTGCGTTAAAACATTCTGGGTTCCTAATGTCCTTTTTGGCCTGCAAATGACTGGGTTAGTGCAATACATGGTGCCAGTTATTACTGTTCAAAACAGCCTCTGCACTCGGGGAAAGTCCTAAATTATTTTCCACAGTAAAATAAATGCTGTCTGATTTTCCACATCTACATCAAGATTTTGAACTGCAACACTGCAAAGTATATCTTTTTATATCTGACGTTCATCCAGTACTCTACAAAGAAAAGTTCATTTTAAATAAGTGCATTTAAAAGCACTGCTCTTTTGTTGCCTCTTGTGTCTCTGTACATTGACAGTTAATCCTGAAACACTCTGTTAGGTTGACTTTGTCCATACCTTTCGTGGTTTTGAATACTTGATCCTAATCAGGAACTTTGTTTTCAAAAAATATAAAGAGATACAGTTCTTTTAGGCCTGGAAATATAATACATTCCTTTATTTATGTATTTGCTCTCTCCCTCACACCTGAACAAGACTTCACAGCTGAAATGTTGGGTTTCTTTTCTTTACCTTTCAGCATGGAATGAACCTTTACTTGTTTCTTGTAGCCGATGCCTCCTAATGCAGTTCCCTACTCAATTCTTTAAGTCTGCTAACATATCTGTCTGCCCTTCTTTGGATTCATTCCAGAGCAGCAAGACCCTTTCTCTTCTGTGACGATCAAAATCAACTAACCTGATCTGGATGACGGTACCTCACTAGGTCTAGTCTGGCGAAATTGCACGGAGGCAAGGTTTTGTTGACAAAATATTACTAGCATGTCCTTCCATTCCAGAAAGCAGTAATGCTTTTTTTTTTTACAAAGACACAATGTGCAGCTGCCTCTGTTTTTCAAGCACATTGGTCTGATCCCGTGCCATTTCCTATTACAGCAGCCTTGAAAATGATTTCGATCAAATGACTTTGTGAATCATCTGAAGACGTGATAAAAGTGAAGTACAGTTTGGAAGAAACTACTGTGTACTCACACAAAATGAAACCACTGTTGTTAAGTCATTTTCCTAGCGATGTAGGCCGACCTACGCCCTTGCAATGTGTTTTGGGAGAGGGGCGACCTCTCTGCGGCCCTGGCAAGAATGAAGCTGGCCCGTCTACAGAGTGGCCTGCAATCCGAACCCAATCACAGGGTGGCAGCACCAGGGTAGCAGCCCCTTTCAGAGGGGGTCCTGGTTGGGTGTGTCTGCAGGTTTTCATCCCACTTCAGCACATAATGAGATAAACCAGCTGGTTACTGGTTTAACAGCTCTTCAGGAACTGCTGCTTTAAAGAGACCTTGAAAAACTCCTCATACACTGGCTCTCTATGCCCAGGATTAGACACTGCCATAGGCTTTAGCTTTGCACCAGCGACTCCTCAGCCCAGCACATTCTCCAGATATCTGGAGCCGGACTGACTCTTATACTGCGCAGTGTTACTGTAATCAGCACATCATCGGTAAGGGGGACTACTGATGGCATCGTTGTACCACATCCTAAGGGCTCACTCAAGTCTTCAATGTAGTATGCTTTGTTTTTTTAAAGAAGTGGATCAATTGTATTTATTTTATGGTTTCCATTCGTATAAAGCACTTTGAATTACCTGTGTGTACGGAAACGTGCTCTAGAAATAAGCTTGCCTTGCCTTATTTATGACCCTGTACTGCAGTTATTACAGACATGTTCTGCAGATTAAGCCATTTCACAGTGTGTCAATATTTCAGAACAGTTCCGCTCCAAAACGTCTACTCAATAGTCCTGAACAAAAAATTGTTTGCCTTGGATTTGTGTAATATATCTGTGAAACATCAGAGCTGTGGTAGCTTAGATGGCAAGGGCCTCTAGCTCCTGAATAGAAAGTTGCGGGATCAATCCCAGGTAGGGGCAAGTGATGTAGCTTGCTCTAATTCCTTTTGGACAGCTCCCAGCAGGTCAGCCTGCTTTCCAAATGAGTACTGGGGTTTAATCTCTCCAGGTGTTATAGGCCGGCTGGAGCATGCTGCTGACCACATCACCTCCACCCCCAGTGTTGGATGGTCCAGATAAATGGTGGCCCATTCCCCCATGGGCCTTTATGGCCTGAAAAGGGACCCACCTACAGTATGTGTATATTACAAACACTGTATGTATTTTATGTCTACAGTATGTTTTTTATAGAACTTGACTCACTCTCTCAGCATTTGCACTAGGTTTATAAACTCTGCCCTTTTTACAGTTGGGTGTTGAAGTGCAGTGAAGTCACAGAACAACATGCCAAACAATATCTTTGATGTGTCTTTTTTTCTGAGCAAATGAAGCAAGAGAAATTCACGGTAACACTAGATGAAATCAAGTAGCAGACAGCCATGGGGCAAAATACCAGCAAGTTAAGAAATATGTTTTGTTTTTATTAAGATCAAACAGCTTTTGTTATGAAATGATCCGTAAAGTTTTGGTGTGCTTTGTAGTACTCAGTACTGCAGCATGTTCTTCCTGCTCTGAATTTTGTTAACACATTTCTGGGGGATTACACAACTCTTGTTTGCTTGTTCCCTTTCCTGAGTGGTGGAATTTAAAATTGAAAATAAAAGCCACTGTTGGTAAAAAAAAGATGATTTTTTAAAAGAAAACCTCGGGAGAACTTTAAAATTCTCTGGTGTTTTCTTTTGGTAACTGCGTTCATCACATCAAAAGCCATCCCTGTACATCCACTTGCCAATCATTCTCGGGAGTAGCACACATACAAAATTCAGCAGTGCAGTGTGTGCGGCTCTCCTGCCTTTCGGAGGGCACTTTAAACTGAGCTCTCGTCTTTCACAGCCTCCAACAGAAGCCAGATGACATACAAAACCAAGCTAGGATGTTTATACTGCACAGTAGGTCAGGCTGTGCTGGGGTCATGGGTGATCTGCATACATGGGTGTCCCTCTAATGGTTTGAAAATATGTTGAAAACGTGATCAAAGATAACTTTTTTTTGTCTTAGTCCATTCCTCACATTACGTACATAACACACTGTACCAGTGGTACTCAATACCTGTCTTGCATGACCTTAGTGTCATTGTCCAGCCTTTTCCTAAGCACCTAACTGAACTAACCATTAGCTTAAGCGGTCCAGTTTAGTGCTTTTCACAGGTCTTAGGCAGTTAAGGTAAAGAGAGTCCTGAAAGGCTGCTGGAATCACATCCTGGAAGACTTGAGCTACGCACCTATGGTTAAGAATAGGGATCTCCAACCATGGTAATGGAGAGTCCCAGTGCAGCAAAATACATGCATTTTGTGTGTCTTTAAATTGTTGAGAGCTGTGAACAGCTGAAAAAAGTGTCACATTCACCCAGTTAACAACGAGATCACCGTGAGCCAGATTCCCCAAGTCTGTTTCATTGAGCTGGTTCTTGACCTGCAAAAGGACTGTTTGAAGCACTTTTTCTTTCCGCTTTTTACGGTGGTCGAAATGGCAGCATCTAGTGGCCATTTGGCGACACTGGTATGTTGATGATCTTGAGATTAGAATTGGAAAGAAGACCCATTGACAGTTTTGGGGAAACGGTGCCTTTTCTGATTTCCTGGAGCCATAAATGTTTAGACAACTGCCGACTCTAAATAAGGTGGGCATGCAATAAACCAATTTTTATTTTACTCTGCTTTGGGAAACTAATTAATTTTTTAAAAAGAAAATAGACAACCTAGGTGGAATGAACATAGCTTCCTGCTTAGTGTGTGTTAATTCTGTATCTCAGTCACTATATAAAACTACTATGTTTTGAACATAGACTATGAGGAGACCTGATACAAGTATTCAGAATCGTCAAAGGCACTGACAAACCATCCGGCAACGTTCGAAAAAAACATGAAACACAAACCAGAGGAAACAGATGGAACCTATGTGGAAGTGCAGTTAAAACAGAGCAGGCACTTCTTTACACAAAGGGCGGTGGGAGTGGGTAACAAGCTGCCCAGCCATGTGGTTGGAACCAATGCCCCGACAGAAACTAAGTCGAATGAGCCTGGAAAAAGCACAGGCTGTGTCATTACCTCTCACACAGACAGCTACAGCTGCACAACCACCATCTCCTCCAAGCAACACTGCTCGACACGCACGCACAGCTGGCACCAGCCACAGAAGAGGTCATGTTGAATTTGAAAACTAAAGACAGTTTCACGTGCAGGATTCTGAAAACAATTCATTGGGAACTTTTATTATTTCATTCACAAAGTAACACCTGAATGCAGAACCCCTTCCCCTGTAGAAAAGAACTGTTGACAAAGGCGTGTCAGTTCAGGTCGATCTGGTGCTGAGCTGGGCTGACCTTCCTCTGCTGGGAGAAGCAGGCCTCCAGCCAGCTCTTCTGTACAGGGAGGGCCTGTGGGTACTGCGTCCGGAGTGCCTGCAGCTCCTGCCAGTAGACACAGGACACAGCACACAGTGTTAGTGCTGGGGCACGCACACACACCATATTACCTCACTTCCGAGAAACCAGGAGAAAACCCTGAACCAGGCAGCAGTTATTACTGGAAACAAAAGACCTCAGCAAACATCCTCTCTCCTCTGAAGCTAGACGCGTTTACTCTTCCCAGTGTCACAAACTTTATCTAAAATCTAAGAGACACTCCTCAGTCACCCAAAGCTGTAACACTTGCTCTATGTTACATTCATCTATCCATTTTCTAATCGCTTCATCCATTTCAGGGTCCCGGGGCAGCCAGAGCCTATCCTGGCGAACAACAGGCGCCGAAAGGCAGGGTACACCCTGGACTGGATGCCATTCCATTACAGGGCACACACAGACACGGGCACAGAAACACAAGCACCCACCCCAGTGGCAGTTCTCCCAGAAGGTAATTACCCTACCAGTACAGTATGTGTTCGTACTGTGGGAGGAAACTGGAGCACCCGGAGGAAACCCTTGCAAACGTGAGGGGAACATACAAACTCCACACAGATAGCACCCCAGGGCCCCCGGGCTGCGAGGTAGCAATGCTACCCTCCGCGCCACAATGCCGCCCCTTTAAGTTACAATATTTAAAACAAAAAACTGCCCAGTGTTGTACTGCATGCGATATCGCCTTCGTCTGCATTTTGTGTTCTTTTTACAAACCAGAGGCTATTTTTAGCGGGCCGGGATTTTTATGATAGCACTTCAGTAATCACGTGACTGATCTCTCTTTCTTAACCCCGCTACAAGCAGCTGACAGACTGGCGTGATCTGCCTGAAAGGGGGACACAGACGACTAACCCTGACCTCCCGAGACCAGGTCCTGCTGTTCGGACAGCAGCAAGAGTATAACTAGGACTTCACATATCCGGTATCACTGTTTCCGAAACTCTTCATATGAAAACAGTTTTCCACGAGTATAGCATACAGGGGCGGTGCGGTGGCTTGGTGGCTAAGGATCTTATCTTATCTTATACAGCCGGTGACTCGTTTCAGCACAAGTTTAATTTTTTTTTTTAATCATCCTGCTCGCAAGCTGTTCCACAGATTTGAGCTTGCACCTCTTGAGGGCTGACAGCACAGGCACGACAATTGCTCCTTTTCAATTGCAGGTCAATCGGTTACGCTGTGCATGCCGGCGCAGAGAATTTGAGGGAAAAAAGGCCAAGAGGGTGCTTCACCTGCGTGTGCAATGGACTCTCCACCTCAGCTACAATGTGTGTGACTTCAGCGCTCATCACCTCGTCTTCGCTGCCGCTGTATGTGCCCTGTTGTTAAGGAGGCTGAACCAAATAAATTGACCAGCCGCACTGCAACAAAAACTTAAAAGAAAAACATGAAAAGGCCTGGAAATACCCATTTAACCAGGCTCTGCTCATCTATTCAACTACGTATAAAAGACAGAGATTTGAAAACAAAGGCAGTTGATTTGCTAAGGATTAAGAAGACAACAGCAGTTCTTGCTGATTCTAATCCAGGAATATTTTTCCAAAAGGAATTAACCTTTTTACGCAATATTTTGTGGCTGTTAGCAAGGCGCCTAGCTATGTTGTGGTTCTTGACGCAAGAGATGACTAAGCTATTGGCGATTTGGGCAGAACAATCCTCTCTTGCACACTCCGATTTCAGTACAGCAGGACCAATTCTTCTGCAGCTACAGTCTAAGGCATTGCTCGGTTTACTGTCAATTTACGACCTTAAACTTTAAAAAGGATATGTAACGAGGAATTGGCCCAGTCTCTTCCGATCTGAAGCGGCGATGTTGTAGAAATACACCTGGACTCCACTCATGAATTCAGCCATGCTGGTAGAGCTCTGCGGGTCACTCTGAGCTGAGCTGCCCGCTGCCTCAGTGCTCCCGGGCGGACCACTCCCACGAGATGCGCGGGCAGAGGCTGAGGACATCACGGAGGAGCTCTTCCTGGAATAATAATATCTGACAGCCAAGTCAAGGGCCAAGCCCAGGAAACCCAGATGGACACCACTAAGAGACTCACTGGGAAAAAAAACAAACACTGACACAGGGAGTCTGAAAAACTTACTGTACATACAGAAACATCATCAGCCTTCCTGAAATACAGTTTCAATATTGCACAAACTACACATTTCCCTATGAATCATCACCCTTGAATTCAAAGCCTGCCATGCCGAACACAAGAAGTCAAAGTTAACTTGAGAAAATTTATTCAGAGCCGTAAACATCATCGTGCTAGTGGTTGTTGTTTTTTTTTCTGGGTTACTCCTGCAATGCGTGAGCTGTTTCCAGACATTACATAGGTGCCCTGCCAAAATCAGTGAAGAAAACAGTCTTTATCCATCTTTTTTTCCCAGTTTGAAAGTGTCTGGGTCATAAAAATCCTTTTAAATATAGTTTTGTCCTTGATCACAGAATCCCCACAAAGCTGAAAATAGTCAACTCTAATATTACCTAAAACCACTATTTCTAAAACGGCTTTAGTCACATAAACGTATTTGAAAATTCAACACTTCTGCTCCTGTTGCAAAACTCCCAGTCTTTCCCATGAGATTTTGTCTCAAGGCTGGCAGGAAAGGTTCCGTCTGACAGCTGCGATTCTATATGAGCATAGTATCTCTGTGTTCTGTATTGAATGTATCTCTTCATCACAACTTAAAATTTAAACATTTTAAGGCTTTGGCCTAAACCTAATTTAGGATATTATGTACTACAACAGTCACCACATCACTAAAATCTTGTCGCTCTGGCATAAGTCCAAGGTAAAGATTCAGATACAGTACATTCTTGGACTTAAAGGAATTTCCTATACTGACAGGATCAAAGAACTAAACATTTTTAGACCTGAACAGAGAGGACTAGGAGAGGACCTCATTCAAGCACTCGGAATCATCAAAACCACTGCCAAAATGAACCCCATGGACATCTTCAGAATTAACTGCAGAACATGAACCTGAGGAAATGAGCAGAAACTATAGACAAGCTCAGGGAAAAGTGAGAATGGAAGTCAGTGCTTTGCACAAAAGGTTGTGGGAGTTTGGAGCAAGCTACACAGACAATGTTGTTGAAGCCAATACCCTGTTGACCTTCAAAAAATGATACCATGGCTTCTTGGACCTATTCGTTACTAATTACCTAGAGGACTAGACAGGCGTAATAGCCTCCAATTCGTAGCACCTGCTTTCTCCTTGATTACAAAGCATAGGCAGCCTGTGTAACGCATCGTTATCGTACAGATTACCTGGCACCAAGGATACATGTAGGTGGGAATACTCCGGGAGGCCAGGTGCTTGCGGATCAGCCTCTCTGTGCCGTACCAGTTAAACCCTTTGGTGGAGTGTCCGATTCGTGGCAGGTGGACACTTGCTAAGAAAGAAGAGAGACCAACCTGTCATGAATCCAATATTCCTTAAGGTTCAATCTTTGACCCACGTCACTGCATGCACTAGTCACAAGGCAACTGGCAGCCATAGCTACATGAGGCCAGTCAGCAAGCTCAGTGAAAAACATACTTCAAACACCCGTGCTTGTCAAGATTTAAAAACATGAATTTCCATCGTAAAAGAAGCCTGTAATGAAAAATCTGTCCAAATGTCTCTTTCTTAATTTTAACATTTTTATCTACTTGTAAAAATGGCTATGACCGATTTGCCAACTAACACTCCCATGTTTTGGTTTCCCAACACCAAAACGAACATCTCAGAACAGCCTTTTTTAAATGATTTCATCAATTTGTGGACTAGCCAGCATTTAAAACAGCACCGCCCTGCTGAAAGTATAGCATGGTGGTGCAGTATAGCACATAAGAGACGGAATCTCTGTCCAGCTAATCTGCTTCAGCAGCCTGGCGTTTTGAAAATTCCCCTTGAGGGTCACCTACAGTCAGAACTCCTGCCTTTTCCAGCTGCTTTTAGCTCCCTGCCGTCCTGAAATCCTGACCCGGTTACCTTTCTTCCTCTTGGCCACCCTGTAGATCTTTTTCAGGCCCTCTTCCAGAGCCGTGAGCTTGATCCCGGACAAGCTGTTGGAGCGATCGCGGTGTTGTGCCACTATCAGTGCCAGCTGGGAAACAAACCACACCGGCCAATGAACAGGACATCGTAAATCCCACGGAAAATTACAATAAAGGCTGCGAGCGTACTGATCTCAAAGCTGAAAGAGACAAGATTTTATCCACTTTGGGGAAAAAACTGATGATCTGGTTTCAGTTTTTGGTACAAACTTAAGAAGACCATGGTAATAATTAATTTTCCCGGAGAGGGACTCAGCACTTACTAGGTCCTGCCCGTCCATCCTGGACTCTTTGTCATCAATGGGGAACAACAGCACACTACCGAGATCCAAGTCTGCAATAAAAAACAATTTTAAATCTCAAGGTCAAGGTACTCTTCTCACATAGTTCAGAGATTTTGTCTTTGTAAAGACACATTAAGAAATGAATGACATCTACAATTTAAAGAATATACCTGTATATTGTACTATTTTTAAATGTATTTCTGTCATAATTTCTCTCTATCAGTAGTATTTCACAGCTCAACAGTGTTATGTTGTTTAGGGGCTTCTGCCATCAATCCATCTTCTTTCAAACTGGGGTCATGGGGGAGCCTCTCTCAGCAAACAATGGGTGCAAGGCGGGGTACACCCTGGATGGGAAGCCAGTCCATCACAGGGCTCACACAGACACAAACACACCTGCACGCACGCCAGGGCCAATTTTCCCAGAAGCCAATTAACCAATCGAAGAACCAAGAGGAATCCCATGAATATGGGGAGAACGTACAAACTCCATGCATATAGCACCCAATGTCCGAAATCGAACCCTGCACCGTGAGGCAGCACTGCTTACCACTGCAACAACATGCTGTCCCATGTGAAGGGTAACAGAAGGATGAGTGCAGAAAGGCTCATTCTGCTGTGTGTGTGTGCAGACCATCACAGAGTGGGTCACACAGCCCGTTCTGCAGGGTGGTCTGCTTGGGCTCAGTGTAACAATAACGCCCGAGTCAGCATGAGGACAAAACTGAGGAACAGGTGGTGGTTTTGTGTGCTTTTTAATTTTCCTGTGCAACAGAAACAGCAAATAGTCTATTACCTCTGAACACTACCAGAAAATTACTGTACCTCCTCTGGTCCCTTTTAAAGGGAGGTTTCCATACATATCCAAACTACAACAGAATTGTATATAATTGTATATACAGCATATAATTAAATACATTAATAATCCCCACTAAAAGCCATGTTATTTGTGGTTTATACTTTCTTAAACAATTATTAGTGGTAAAAACGTATTACCACATCATGGTAATTAGTGACTGTTAATAATTGGATGAGGAGACCAGCTCCCCTCCGAAACAGGTGAGTAGCTCTCTGGTTACTGCTCCCCACTTCCCACATTATCTCTGGTCCTTACCGTGAGTGCAGATTTAGCCCAGATTGCATACGAGTTAAATTTAACTGTAGTTTAAATTCACAAGCGCTGAAAGAGATCCCGGGATCAATAAGCTACTACCAAACAAGCCAGATGGGCCCAGTGACCTCCTTTCATTTGTAACCTTTCTTCTTATAGTTTTAGCCACGTGGTGCAGCATATTTCAAGACTGTTACCTTTAACACAAAGTTAAAATCAGATCTCATCACTTTTCTGCTTTATTATACCACCAGAAGCAAGAGCCTGCAGTTTTTGAAGTCCAAACTACATAGTACTGCAGTGCACTGGGAGGCTTGAGTCTATCCCTGCAATTGGATGAGGCGTCTGGTTACCTTTCATCTTGCCAGCCAGCTCATACTTCCTGCGGGGCTCATCTGACCGGACCTCCAGCGCCGTGAAGAGTCCGCCTCTGCCCCAGTGCCCATAGTCATCTGACACACAAGACACACACACACAGGAGGAGCGCAGTGAGAGAGCATCCACTGCAACACAACCCACAACCCCACCTCACACACACACAGGAGGAGTGTAGTGAGAGAGCACCCACTGCAACACAACCCACAATCCCTTCTCACACACACACACACAGGTGGAGTGCAGTGAGAGAGCATCCACTGCAACACAACCCACTATCCCACCTGACACACACACACACAGGAGGAGCGCAGCGAGAGAGCATCCACTGCAACACAACCCACAACCCCACCTCACACACACACAGGAGGA